AGGTGCCAAGTATAAGGGCTGAGGTGCGACCTGGTCAATGTCCGATCTACCAAGAAGCTCGGCGGGTCCGAGGTGAGCAGCTGTTAGCGGCGTGATTATCGGGTGTAACCGTCGGTCCCGAGATTACCGGGTATAACCATCGCGAGATCAACGGGACTACCACCCATAAGTAGAGGACCTCACTCCACACTCAGGTGAGATTTTCAACCTCGAACTAAACTGGGAATCCAACCTATACTGACTTGAGCGTCGGAGTGTTCACCTTTTTGTGCAGGTCCGCCCAAGTGTTCAGGTCGGTCCGAAGACCGGGTTCGAGCTAGGATCAGAAGAACACTGTTGTGCATATTCTTGCATAAACACTACGTCTCACCAAATTGAAGCATTTAAGTGTTTGTAGATGTCCACTGCTACTACTCGGCCAAGGCGATGCAGAGGGGGCCAAACTTTCCCATCTTCCCATCACAATTGACCAGGTACGTTTTTAGGCTTCATTGTCCTTATATTTTTCTTTTTGATAAGTAAATTCAACTTATTAGTTAAATTTTTATGGCCTGTTGTGAAGTGGGGCAATCCGCTGGCAAATTAAATGAAGAAATGACAGAAGACAAGAGTGAAGCAAGAAGAAAAATCATTGAAGAATTGGTACAAGAGAGACAGTCAAGAGGATTACCCTTTTCGAGAAGGTTTTACATTCGGTTATACAAGGTAATTCTCATAACACAAAAATCTAAACAAGAGTTTGTTTGGTTGGTTGATATTTGGTTGTATAAATTTCAGCTACCTCCTTTCTGGAATGCCATGTACTTGAGAATATTGGGTTGAATCTTTACCCCCTCTCTTTTGGTAACCTTTTTTGTTTTTTGTTTTAGAGAATAGAAAACCGGAAACCATTTTTAGTTTTTTGTTTTTAAAAAATTCAAAAATTCAAAATATATATTAGAGAGAGAAAATTCAATGTAGGTAGTGATGACAATGGTGTGGGGCGTGGGTCAGGATGACCTTCCATTCTCGTGCTCGTGAAAATTTTTAGTCCATCGTCTCCACCTTATTTTCAGTTCGAGAATTTGAGATCCAAGTTAAAGAACCCTTATTTGCGAAGGGGGGTATTCGTGGGAAAAATTATCGATTTTATAATTAATTTTAATTTTTATATAAATTAAAAAATAAAAAATGTAATAAATATATATTAATTATTTTTAGAATTATTATTTACTAGTATAAATAATTAGTTTTAAAAAATATTTAATATTTTATTCACAATCTAGTAAATATTTTGATAAAATATTAATTATTTAAAAAATTGAATTAGAGACGGGATCGGAACATGCATTTCCTTCTTAGAGCAGAGATCCGACCTTGCGGAAATTTTTATCATCTCTGATGTAGAGACATGAAAATACAAGTTCAACGAAATGAAAATAAACTTCTAAAAGAGAACTTTTTAGAGAGAGAAAGGAAAAATATTAGTGAAAGGAAAGTTCAAAATAGAAAGAGAAATATTTTAGAGAAAAAAGAGTAAAGTTTAGATGAAAATATATGTTAAAGGAAAAAAAAGGAAATTAGAAAGAGAGAAAAAATTACAGTGATAAAAAAATTTGCTTGTTTGCTCAAGTTTTTTTAGTACATTTAAAAATTTCTTAAAAAACAGATATGGACTCTTTTTAAAATTTTTAAGAACAAAGAGAAGTTTTTGAAGGCTTTATTTTTAGTTTTCAGTTTTTAAAAATCTGGGTTGTTTATAACCAATTAAATTTTGTGTTTTTGTTTTTCAAAAATCATTTTAAAATTCTAGGTAAATTTCAAAAAAAAAAAAGTTTTCAAAAATAGGTTTTTATTTCTCAAAATGTGATTTTTTCTTTTAATATTCAACTTTTTTTTTTCCTTATATTTATCTTTAAAAAATTTATTTCTCATTCTAAAACTTTTTTATTTCTAAATTTCTCTACAAACTTTATTTTTCTCTCTCTAAAATTTTCATATTTTGAATATTTATTATTATTCGTCTCTCTTCAAATTTTTCTGTATTTTTATTCTTTTTTTGACAGATCAGTTTCATTTCTCTCTCTAAAAATTTAATATTTTCCTAACTTTTTTGTCTCTAAAATTTCATGTTTTATAACTTTTCATTGTGTTCGTAATCTATTTTTCCTTTGAAAATTATATTTTATTCTCTCGTTCAATTTTATTCCATTGTAAATTTTATTTATCTTCGTATTTTCTTATTTTCTCTAAAAATTATATTTTGAATCTTGTTCTTATTTCTAAATTTCTTTCCACTATAATTTTTATCTTTTTTTATAATTTTTTTCCTTTAACGTATCTTTCCATGTCGAATTTATTTTTTTTCTCTACAATTTTTCTCTTTTTATCTTTTACTTTTCTTTCACTATTTTTTTAAAATCCTTTTATTTATCTGTCTAAAATTTACCTTCCAACTGTTTATTTACATCTCTCTATTTCGTGTCTCTACATTAGGGGAAAGACAAAAATTTCCACAGGGTCGGGTCCCAAAAATAGGAAATGCATATCCCGACCCCGATTGCATTTTTTAAATAATTAATATATATTTATTACACTTTTTATACTTAAATTCTAAAAATAATTACAAACAATTATAAAATCGATAATTTTTCTCGACAACATATCTCGGACCCAAGAACGAGGTGGAGACGGAAACTAAAAATTTTCTCGAGCACGAGAATGAGGGAGAGCATCCTCACTCGCACCCATATACCATTGTCATTTCTACTCTCCATAAAAATTCTTTTCTCTAATATGTATTTTCAATTTTCTTACTTTTTAAAAACTAAAAACTAAAAATGGTTACCAAACATGTTCTGAAAAACAAAAAACTAGAAATGGTTATCAAACATATATGGTTTTTATTTTTTAAAAACAGAAAACTAAAAAACAATAAAAACCAAAAAGCAAAAACTAAAATGGTTATCAAACGGGTTCCTGAATTTTCCACTGCAAAATAAAGACATTGAAGAATATATTTTTGAGAGTCCCTACTTTATTGCGACTGTAAGTTGCTGAGAAGCAGCCTTCCATTAAAGTATAAAATTGCAAAAGCTACCGACCTTTTTCCATAAATCATGTGCTAAATGTATTTTTGTCCCTTATTATTAAACATAAATAAATCATCAATGAACACAAAAGCTTACGGATAAGTTAGAGTAAATTTAATCAATTTATTTATATCCAACACTCCTCACTAAAACAAGTACTCAAAAAAAATAAAAAAAAACTGAATAAATCACTAGTGAACCCAAAAACTTAAGTTGATAGATTAGGGTAAATATAATTCATTTATAGATATCCAACAGTTATTGAGTGTTAAATTGCTTTATAAACGAGGAGCTCTTATATCTTTATTTATTTTTGGACAAAATATACTTTTAGTTCCTACGTTTGAAGATATGTTTCTATTTGTTCTCTAAATTTTAAATAGTGACAGTTTGGTCATTAATCTTTAGAAAATGGTTCTAAAAGATCATTGGAGTTAAACTTCCATTAGTCTAAATGCTGACATGCTTTTGGTCCCTATACTATGAGCTTTGGTTTATTTTAGTCCATGTAATTTCAAAATGTTCATTTTGATCCCTGTATTTTTAACCGTGGTTCATCTTAATCTCTAAACTTTTGAAATGTTTGTTTTGATCCATGTACTTTAAAAAACGGTCATTTTGGTCTCTTAATTTTATTTTTAATCTCTTTTTTTTTTCTACCACACAATTTCAATAGGACACCCCACTTGATTTATTTATTGAAATGTAACCATGATTTTATTAAAGAGTTCTCGCATTGTGTAAAATTTGTTTTAGAGTTTTGCAAATATGGACCAAAAAAATCATTTTTTAAAAGTACAAGGACCAAAAGCTAACATTTTGAAATTACGGGGACTAAAATGAATCAAGGTTGAAAGTTTAGGAACTAAAATGTACATTTTAAAAGTACAGGGACCAAAATGAATCAAAACTCAAAGTACTGGGACCAAAATAGTAATTTAACCTATATTATACTATATTATATTGTCTAGTTGTTTTTCAAATTCAATCTCCACTTTTGATGTTTAATCATTGAGGATCAAATGGTCCAAATTAAGTCTCATTTCAACCTATTTCAAATTCATTCTCCCTTATTTTTTAATAACATTTCTTCTAAAATTACATAATTTTCTCTCCAAATTTTCTCTCCAATTCCTCAATATTTCTTTTCTCCAAAACTTCAGTGTTATTCGAATTTCTCGTGATGGAAAATTTTATTTTAAGAGATTGTTGAGCTTCTCGTTTTTATTTTCTTAGTCCAATTGAAGGTTTTTATTTGTAAGAATTTTTCTTAAAAAATTGGGAACAAAACTTTGTATAACCACTCTTTGAAAAAAGGGTTGCTCTTGAGCCCGCAAAAATGCTTTTGGTAACGGTTTGATCCTAAACTATGAAAAAGATTAAGTTCGTTCTTGCTCTCGAAAAAAGAAGATTGTACCGATTGACTCTAAGTCGTGAAAAGATTCGGGTTCTCCGAATATCCAAAAAATGGTAGAAATGATGAATAAGTATCTATTGAAGTTGAAATTTTTGTTTGAAGCAAAAAAGTTGAAAGATGTATAATTGATATTATTAAAAAAAAAAAGAACATATTGAGAATTTTAACAAGTTTTAAGAACAAATTTGGTAAGCAAAGTCCACCGACCTGCATGTTTGAAGTCTTATAAAATAGATTATTATGTGGAAAGACAGCCACTTGCATGCTTGTTTTTATTTTTTCTCTCGCACCAGCTTCCAAGTAAACTCTCAAACTCATCTGGTCTTTTTTTATTCATGAACCTTCCCAGCTGTGACAGATACACGTTCAATTATATAAATCCTGTGGAGTATGGATCTTCTTCAAACTATTATTGCACTTCTTTTGGGAAAGTGATTGAGGAGCAGAGACGGCTGAATTCCTGCGGACTTTTGCTGTGCACGAACTGTTGAAGAAGTTACTGAAACTTGCAGCTGAGCAAATTGGTGTGGCATGGGGCTTGGACAAGGAACTTTCCAAATTGAGGAAGCGGTTACTCAAGGCTGAAGCCATTTTAGGTGACATTAACAGTAAAAGATTATGCCATGAATTTGTGAGGTTGTGGGTGCAGGATCTTCAACATCTTGTTTATC